AGGAAAAAAAAAAAAAAAAAAAAAAAAAAAAAAAAAAAAGATCCCCTTACCAGTCATCTTTTTTTAAAAAAAATAAATAAATAAATAAAATTAAAAAAAAAATAAAACTGGGAAATCAGCAAACACTACAAACCAGTGCTTTATTTTCGGAGAGTGAGTTGTAAGCATCTAACAGCACACCTCTGGGTCAGGATGATACAGTATCCTACCTTTTCAATGGTATATGTTCCATTTTAGTACACCTTGGAGGTTAAACCTAGGTATCAAAAGGACAATAGAAAGAACAGATGATGAGCATCTTTTCAACCCTCAGCAGAGTCCCAGACATCTTGTTTTGCTGCTGGCCCCACTAGCCACGCAGTCTGTGGCTACAGGGAGGAATGGGGAGGGACACATGGATGACTGACCAAGCGGGGCTGGAATTGAAGCCGGGTAATTGTGGCTCGAAACTGGTTTGGCTTGGACACAGGAGATCCCGTTCCTCCTCTCAGCCCTCTTGGCAGGCGGAGGATCTGAGCTGGACGCATCCCTCCTCAACTCAGGAGGCTGGCAGCGATAGGGCCCAGGGCAGAGATGAAGCATACTCTGCCTACCAGTGCTGCTTGTGAATGAACTCTTCTGGGGTCTCCTTTATGGTTTGAGAATTCAGTGAAAGTATAAGACTCCAGGAACATGCACATTCATACAAATACACAAGATGGGAATGCATGCTGAACAGGACAATGTATCTGAACCAAAGAGGGAAAGCAGCCAGATTGGGGGCCAATATCAGTGAGTACAGGAGGAAAGTGATTCCTTCCTTGAGAGCTAATGTAGACTTGGGAATGGCTTACATGCCCTGGTGGATTTCCTGAAAAATGAACTCAGGGAGAAGCAGGCAAGTGACACATTTTAGGAAACATTCATAACCGCTTGTCTTCTCATGCAAACTGTAATATCCTTGTGCATGGAGATGCCCTCTGCAATGTCGATGGGATCTCCAGGGTGCCCAGAACAGTGTTAGATGTATAGCAGCACATAAGACACGTAGACTGAGTGATTAGGGCTGAGGTGAGGCCTGGGCTACCTGGCACCAGGTCCATTCCACTCCCAACCATCCCTTCTATCGTGGACCCCAGGGTCCCAGGGCCTGGACTACTTAGGCAGAGGAGTCCTCCCCCACCGTCTCTCTGCCAATGCACCCTTTAACCCCATGATGGAACAATCTTCTGGCCTTGACCCTCTGAGGGTACACAAGAGACCACTCAACTATGCACTAGGTAAGTGTACTGGTTCTGAGGACAGACTGCTTGTCCTTTTGTCTGAATTCAAATTCTACCTCTACCACTCAGCTGAATGGCTTCAGATAATTTCTTTAGCCTCAGTTTTTTCCTCTGTCAAATGGAGAGAATTACTGTATCTACACCTCACAAAATTGCTACAAGGATTAAATGAGGTTACATATATAAAGTCCTTAGTATGGTGCCTAGCACACTGAAATGCTCCATGTTCGCTACAATTATTATTACCATTCTCAAAAGAACAGTCCTCACCGCCCTACTCAGAGGTGTAGGACAGCCAATAACTTAGCTCCCCAGAGCTGAGAAGTCTCCTTCCCTATGAAAAGCAGGTGCTTGGTAAATGCATCTTGGTTGCAACAGCATGTACAGAAACCAACCCAGCAGTGGGCCATCAGGGTTTATCCCCACTATAGAGAAAAGGCTAAATTGCAGCACACACACACATACACAAAGGCTAAATTTATAAGTGAAAGTAACTTTAAAAAACCACATTAACTGAGTTTCAAAACTGAGATGACTATATTAACTGATTTTAACCTATTACATTCACAGAAAGATTCGTATTATCTCTTAATTATCTTTTTCCACGAACTTTTTGAAGCACACTTGTATTTAAGCATAGAATCAGGCTGTGGTGGCATGTCCATCTGTTGGTTTATATATGCAGATAAATTGTGCAGGACACCATGGAAAGATAAAAGGCGCAGCCAAGTAAACATGTGCTCAAGCAACATCACGAGAGTACACAGTGCTAACGGAGACAAAAAGGGAGCCCAAGGGCTGGCTGGTTAGCTCGACTGGTTACAGCATGGCACTGGCAAAACCAAAGTCCAGGGTTCGATCCTTGTACGGGCCAGCCGCCTCCCCTACAAAAAAAAGGGAGCCTGTGCTTGCCTTCTTCCTCCATGGCAATCCCACAGGCTGTCCAACTGAACACGTGTTTCACAGGTTGTCCACCAGAGGGCGGGCGGGGACCGGCACTTTTGCCCTGATAAAGGAGTGGAGAGCTGAAAGGCTGAGAACAAGAAAAATAAGAAGCTGGGGATCAAAGTGACAGAAATTCATCCCCCACCCGCGAACTATACAGCTGCCTGGTTTTGTTAAGAAATGTTTCTCTCTTTTTCTCTCTTTCCTTTCTCAGTCTTGGGTACACTGAGCAGCCCCAGAACTGAAAAAGGGAGAGAAGACTAAACAGAGAAATGTTTCTTAATGAAGATAAGAGGAAAACCTCCAAGTCTGTGATTCAAGATGAATGGCTGTATTAAAAAGTTAATTTAACCTTTTATTGTTTAGGTTCTTCCTTTGGATACTGCTGGAAAACTTTAAAGTAAGAATCTAAAATTGGGATATTTTTTCTGAAAAAAGAAGGAAAAAGACTTCTGATTTGATAAATATTAGCATGAAGACAAAAATACCATCAGGATAACTATCATTTATTCATTTGATAAATACTTAAACTGTGCACTGACCATGTACCAGGCCAAGCTCAGTGGTATGACTCCTGCCTTCAAAGGGGGTACACATCAGTCCTCAGGAAAATGAGTATGGGATAGCATGGGGGGCTGAGCAGAGGACTCAGGGAAGGCTTCCTGGAGGAAGCAATGTCTGAGAGACACCCCTGTCTGCTTGCTTTTGCTAAACAGGAGATTGGCTGTTTTCAGAAGGTTCAGGAGGCAGTGAGGACAGAAAAGAACCTTTCATTTTCGGAGAACAAAGCAGAGGTCACAAATGGTAAGCCCCAACAGGGCCACATTTCTATGTTGTGAAGCCTGAGAGACAGCAGACTTGGGAGACGTTGCCTCAGCCAAACCAATAAAAGGAAGATGCTTTAACTGGAGACAGTGGGGCATGGATCTATGGGATCTGATAGCCCAGCACAGCTGATAATCTTCCAGTCATTTTGGGATACATCAGATAATTTCCCCCCTACTCAAGCTAATAAATTTACATTAAAAATGAGCTGAGTTACGTGGGAAATCAATCTAGGGATTAAAATATCCCTTTGGGGCCGGCCCGTGGCTCACTCAGTAGAGTGCGGTGCTGATAACACCAAGGCCCCGGGTTTGGATCCCATATAGGGATGGCCGGTTAGCTCGCTGGCTGAGCGTGGTGCTGACAACACCAAGTCAAGGGTTAAGATCCCCTTACCGGTCATCTTTTAAAAAAAGAAAATAAATAAATAAAATAAAATAAAATATCCCTTTGGATAACTGACATGTGAGTAAACTAGCATTTACTACGTATGACTCCTGTCCCAGGTAAAAAATAAGTACTTCATCCTTGGGATTGAGGACTTTATTTTTTGGAGGCTGGCCTATATGGGGAACCAAATCCTTGACCTTGGTGTTATCAACACCCTGCTCTAACCATCTGACCTAATGGGCCAGGCCTCACCCTCCCCCGACTGAGGACTTTAAATGCTTTTAACTTAGTGGAGATTTCTAATAGTAGACTGTTGGAGACAGGTCTGAAATTCAGAAGAGATATGACTTGGGAATCCCCATTTATTCCCAAACTATTGAGTGTCTGCTATGTGACAGGTACTGTGATAAGCAATGAGCAGAGAGTGGTGAACAAAACAGACAAGATCTAGCCCTCAAGGACCTTACATTTTATGTATGGAAGACACACTACGAATAAGTAAACAAGCAGGCAACAGAACTACAGACTGTGATAAGTGATATGAAGAAATAAACAAACAGGATATCAATGAAAAATAAACAGGCTTTTTGAGTGAAGGGGCTTTAGAGAGGGTCAGAGATGAGGGAAGACCATTCCTGGCAGAGCAGACAACAATTGCAAATGCCCTGACGCAGGAGAACACTTGACATTCTAGGCCGAGGAGGTCAGTATGACTGAGTATGGATGGAGGGGGGCATGAGGTAGGCAGGGGCTAGAGCAGGCAGGGTCTTGGAAGCCATGGTAAGGAACAATGGGCAGTCACTGAAGGAACAGAGAGACATCAGATGGGATGTGATCATCCACATGTGGAGGTGAAGTAAGGACAGGGCCATGCTCACACATTTAAAGGACATGCTCAATCCCTTCACCTGGAGGAAGAGGACTCCAAGAAGGAGCAGCTAGTGAGGTGAAGGGGTGGAGAATGGTGTCGGAAGCCAAGGGAGAAATTTCAAGAACAGAGAAGTGGTTAACAATGTCAAATGCTACAAGGACAGCAAGTAGGTTAAAGATGAAAAAACATCCAGTATTTAGGGGCCGGATGGTTAATTCAGTTGGTTAGAGTGTGGTGTTGTAACACCGAGGTCAAGGGTTCAGATCCTGGGATCAGACAGCCTCTGAAAAAAAAAAGAAAAGAAAAGAAAAAAAAAAAAATCCAGGATTTAGCAACAAAGAGGTTATTAATGACCTTGAAAGGAATAGTTTTAAGTGACTAGTGGCATACTGCCATGAGGTGAGGAAAAAACTGCAGATGGGGAACTAGGACTTGAGAATGTATAGACCAGAAGCTACTGCTTTGGATGTAAAGATAAGGAAACTGTTAGGGAAGTAGCTAGGAGGACACAGGATTGGGCATCTCTCAGCCAAATTAATAGATGTGGAAACTTCTGCCTAGTGGTCTTAATTTTCTCTATCAACCCCAAATGTTGGGCCTCATTTTCACTGACAGGTGCAAGTGGCAGGGAAAGGGCCTAAGGGATATGATGGGGAAAAAAAAAAAAAAATATATATATATATATATATGTACATATATACATATATATGTATATGTATAAATATACATACACATATATGTATAAATATACACACACACACATACATTTTTGGCAGCTGGCCAGTACTGGGATCCGAACCCTTGACCTTGGTGTTATAATACCATGCTCTCACTGACTGAGCTAATGATGTTTTAAAATAGCAGGCTGTGGAAAACAGAAGAAGAGCTCCCTAAGGGCCCTGCTGAAGTCCAAGACCATGACTTTGTGGAGGTACCATGTTCCACCATGGCTGAGACTCTACAGTGCTGCTCAGCAGGCAGTGTGTAGTGGCAGAGGAGTGCAGACAGAACACTTAAGTTGGAGTTTTGCCAACTGGTGAGTTGGAAGGATGAGGGCATAAAGGAACTGAGAAACTGGAGCATAGTTGCTGTGCATCTCCAACTAAACCTGTCCAAAGACATGTTTTGACTTCCACCCCCAGACCTATTCCTCTCCTCCAACCCTTACCTCTGTCTTTCCCCCTCTCAGTAAATGGCACCACCCTCCACCCAACCACTATCATGAAGGGTCAGCCCGTTAGCTCAGATGGTTAGAGTGCAGTGTTGTAACACCAAGGTCAAGAGTTTGCACCCCTGTACTGGCCAGCCAACAAAAAAAAAAAAGAAGGGTCAGCATCTCCTTGAAGGTCCCCTGCAATCCATTCTATCCTCAATCAGCTCAAATCCACCCCATGTTTTCATCTGTACCATCTCTTGCCTGGACCATAGCAACAGCCCTTTTTGCTTCTACCGTGGCCCCAACCAAGCAGTTAGCCCCCCAGCCTCAGGAGTTTAGACCAACAAGTTTTTCAAAAACAGACAAAATACTTTAGACTTAAAAAAAAATGGGGCTGGGGCTGGCCTGTGGCTCACTCAGGAGAGTGTGGTGCTGATAACACCAAGTCAAAGGTTAAGATCCCCTTACCGGTCATCTTTAAAAAAAAAAAAATGGGGCTGGGGCTGGCCTGTGGCTCACTCAGGAGAGTGTGGTGCTGATAACACCAAGTCAAAGGTTAAGATCCCCTTACCGGTCATCTTTAAAAAAAAAAAAATGGGGCTGGCCAGTCAGCTCAATTGGTTAGAACACAGTGTTGTAAAACCAAGGTCAAGGATTTGGATCCTCATACTAGCCAGCTGCCAAAAAAAAGAAACAGCTTGAAACACAAACGGTCAAAACTGAACTAATAATTATCTTAACTGAATGTAAAATGTAACATTACATCAATTAGTCAACTACAATTTAATATAATTAGATGGAAATTATGTTCAATGTAAATGTGGATGTTTTTCTTCCCATAACCTGATTTTTTAACTTGCCATTATAACATGATCTTTGCCTCTTCACTCAATATTATTCAAAACATAATTTTAAATACCTACAGTATTTATGAGAGTTATCACATTTTTTTTTTCCTTTTTGTCTTTTTTCGTGTCCGGCAACGGATCGCAACCCTCAGTGTCGCCCCCGTACCGGACTAGGACCGGCAACAGGATCACAACCCTCGGTGTTGCTCCCGTGCCTCGCTCAGCCAGTGAGCGGGAACCGGTCTGTATGTGGGATCCGAACCCTCGGTGGGAGCGCCACCGCGCTTCCCAAGCGGCGCACTGTAGCAGTGCGCCACCGGGCCAGCCCCGAGAGTTATCACATTTATATAACCACAATTCTTCAAATGTTAGACATCTTAGGTACTTTTCAATTATTCTCCATTGAACATTGTGCTATGATGAATATCTTTTGTACATACACTTTTTTGAACTTTTTATTTTGAAATAATTATAGATTTGTAGGAAACTGTGAAGAAATGTATCCACTCCAATGTTAACATCTTTTTTTTTTTTTTTTTTGGCACCTGGCCAGTATGGTCATCTTGGTGTTATAAGAATGTGATCTAATCAACTGAGCTAACTGGCCAGCCCAATGTTAACATCTTAAACAACTATAGTACCATACCGAAACCAAGAAATTGACACTGGTACAACCCACAGAGTTCATTCAGATTTCACCAGTTATACATGTACCTATTTGTGTGTGTGTGTACATTTTTGCAATCTTATCATACATGTAGCATTGCATAACCACCACCTCAGTCAAGACACTGGATACTTTTTAATAGATTTGACATGATGTGGCCTGGGGTGTAATAAAACAAATCTAAAGAAATAATAAAGATAAGAATAGATTCCAAAGACATACAGATCAATAATAACCTCAAACAGAAAATTTTTTTTTTTTTTTTTTTTTTTAAGATGACCGGTAAGGGGATCTTAACCCTTGACTTGGTGTTGTCAGCACCA